CGTACTCCCACAGCCACAACCACAACGCAAACCGTACAAGGAAAAACTACAAATAACACAAATGAACATAAACGCAAACTTCACTCACCACAAAACATGCACCAGAAAAAAGACAAGAAAGACTCTCTGCTCACGGAAACCCCGGAGCCTTCCGCTCCTCGTCGTCGCCATGACGACACCGTCATCGGGGACTCCAGCAGCGACGACAGCCTCCAAATCGACCTCGGTCCCGAGGTCGCTGAGGGAGCTGTCGCGCTGTCCGCTCCCCCTGGGGACTCGCTCCCCATCCTTCCCGTCAGGGGAGACCTCGGGAGGCATGGCAGTGTCGGAAATTGGTTCTTTATGTCATATCATGTACCTCGCTCACCCCCACTCGTACCCCTGCTGATACACCCTCGCATGAATCATTTATGTTTACATTCGTTCGACCTTGAAACGTACTGTTTGCCTTTTTGTTTTCGTTCCTGTTCCCTTCAGTTTTTGTTTTTCATGTACGTGTTCCACCATCGCCTTACTTGCTTGGGTACCTACTCACTTACTCTTTTCTTCTTTCACCCTATTATCTCACCTTCATTACATATGTACTATGTTCCCTTCTCGTCTCCCCCGATCATCATCCCCCGCCTATTCACTTGCTCCCTCCTCCTTTCCTTTTTCTCTCTTCTCCTTCCTTCCTTCCTTCTTCCTTCCCTTCTTGTTCCTTCCCTTCTTGTTTTCTTTTTCTTCTTCTTTCTCTCTCTCTCTCTCCCTCTCCGGCCTTCTCATGTTTTTCATCATTCTCGTTCGTGTTACCATGTTATTTACCTATTTACCTATATGTTATGTCCTTATATTACGTCTCTTGTTGTTCTCGTTCGTGTTACAATGCTTTTTACCTATATGTTATGTTTTGTATTATATTACGGCTCGTGTTGTCCACCAAGAGTGACCCAATGAACCCTGCTCCTACCTGCTCCAACCTGGCTCCAATTAAAAACACAAAATAGAAAACGAACCTCCCTTCCAACCAGCTATACCAAAGAAACACCACGCAAGGGGTATCGCCCCCCTACTTGTATACTCTAATTATATTTAATCTTCCAGGTAGATAGCTACCCTTAGCTTTCCTTCCCCTCCTTATACTAAGGACCCCTCTCCCCCTTCCCCCCCTTTAGTTCATCTAACCCCTCTATGCGAGCTGAATGTCTATGGGGGGGAGAGGCGTCCGACCTGCATGCATAAGTGCACGCAGGCCGAAGGATGTCTCCTCACCCGTACAGGAAGCTCTCTTGTATATATTTTATATTTGTTCTTTTATTGGTTCTAATATCCTTCGTTTGATTTTACTTTTCATTCAACTAAACCCAGCGCATAAACCACATTGCGAGGAAAGAGCCTCAGGACCGCTCACCCACACACACAGCGTTGATGTTGTGTTGTGGTTTTGTTTACAATTGTGTTTGCGTTGTGATCGGCCCGGAGGATGATGTCCACGCTAAAAAATGATAACCATGCCACTCATACCTTCTGCTGCTATGCGCAGAAGGTAACATCATGCCCACACCCCCACCATATCATATCACCCACCATGTCATCACATCCCACATCCCTTATAAGTCTCCCACCATCACCCAGTCAATCCTAAGCGACTCACCATGATTGCAAAGCGAACATTCAAAGTGTCATTGAGCTCCCTTGGTCTGCCGAGGCCTCAATCGCGCCGCGAACTCGATTTGCCATTATTCTGACTAGCAATAAAGTAAATGTACAGTAAACTTCCTCTGACTTTTCCAGAGACTGTTTGCTTTTTTTCTTCTGCCTTTAGCAGTCCTTTTTTTATCATTGACGGTGATAAGGGAACATTACACCTCTCCTCAGACCCGCAGCTCTCTCTATTACAGGGAAACCTGTATAGAAAGGCCCAGCAGTCTGAGGTGACATTTAGGTGTTCCTTTTCTCCTCCTAAACTCCTTCCCTTTTCTTGTGGTCACCTGGACCTACATAAATCCCCTGGGGATTTTTGTATTCGTCTAGGTGGCGTGCTACTTACCTGTTGCCCCTTTGTAGCAAGGATTGGCAATAAGGGGGTAGCCCATCACAAAGCTCCAATCCCCTTGTGCACTGGAGAACGCAACCAGTCTGCCACAAGGGGGGGTCGAGTGTAGGCTCCTTTTTTCCCTCACTTTCTCTCTCTCTCCATCACCTCATCGATCACCGATCACGTCACTCACCCGGCATTACCCCCGACCAATGTACCATTGACCATGCCCAAAATTAAGATTAAAACTCTCGGTGCCCCCACCCAGAGGAAAAGAGATAGTCTTGCCAATGCACTCTTCGGTGCGGAGATCAGAGTACTCCGGTACTTTACCCTTCACGACGGATACCTGGCCTTGATCGAGGACGACGTCCACGCCGAGAAACTCTTCTCGCAGGACGTCGTCCAGTCCTTGGAGAAACTCGGTTTCTCCCCTGTCCTTCCTGTGGACATGAAAGCCAAACTTACACTGGTTTTCAAAAAACTTGACTGACAAGTCGTCAACGAGTCGGCCCTAGACATTGAAGAAGAGATTACCTCTTCCTTCCCTGACGCCCAAGTTGAGAACATTTTTATAATGAAGCTCAACTATATCATCAAGGTCAGGTTCTCTGACCACACCATAGCAAAGAAAATTAAAGAGAAGGGGATATACCTCTTCAAACTATATGTTGCCCCCTGGCAAATCGAGTTTGAAAGATATACTACTCTCAAACAGTGTATGAATTGCTTTGGTTACGGTCACCTTAAGAACCAGTGCAAAGCAGAGAAGAAGACGCGGTGCACGGAGTGCGGCTCCGGCACCCATTCCTATAGGGACTGTAAAAGTCCCATAAAAAAGTGCCTTAACTGTGGCGGTGCCCACAGGACGTTTGCTAACAGCTGTCCCACCCGAAAAGAGGCCATGAAGGTCTCCCAGGAGAGGCTTAGGGAGGAGAAAGAAACAGAAGCCAAGCCATTCTGGGCTGTGGCTCAAAAAACCGCACAGGAGGCTGTGCAAGCCACCACCAGGACCTGGAAACCTCTCATTAACCAGGTCCGCCAAGAAATTAAGCAGACCAAGACCGAACCCACTATCCATCTAGCTCTCCCTAATGACCTCTCGAAGGAGATCCTTGTGGTCCTCCTGCATGCACACATGCAAAACCTTATAGCCCCTGAAAAGGGATTTCGCCATCATGCTAGGGTGGCACTGGAGGCCAACAACCTTCCCACTCTCGACCTTGGGGAATCTGACTCTTGGGGAATCCTCAAAGTCATTAAGCCCCCATCCACGCCTATTCAGGACCCCCCTGAAACACCACCACTTCAGGCACCAATGCCACAGCCTGCTCAGGCAATGGAGCCCCAAACTCTGCAGGCTCATTCTGCTGAGCCTCTCCCACAACGGGTCCAGGCACCTAGGCCTCAGCCAGCTGAGGCCCGGGCAAAGGAACTCCAGTCAATTCCCCAAGGTACCGAAGACGCACCTGCTCCTTCCATCGCCACGGCCTCCCCCTCTCGTCGGTCAGTGAGACCAAAAAACATTAATATCCCCTCTGCGGCTGACCCTAAGGAGGTCATCAGCACCCCTGATGCCCCTCCCCCCACCCCAGACCTGACAGAAACCACTAACCGTTTCACTAACGACGAAGGGATAGAGCGCCTCATTGATGGCACAGCCACAGACCCCGCCTATTACGGTATCCGTCTTTTCTCCGAGAACCCGTCCAAGTACCAGTACTCTGACCGCATCGAAATTGGCATGGAAGTAATTAATAAGCAAATAAAGTGCCTTATAACGAAAAGAGAACACGCTAATTTGGTCACAATTAAGAGGATTCACCACCACATCAAGGAGGGCAACATGCGCGTCACCAACGCCATGATTGAATATAGCCATGACCTAACCAAATTAAACAACGGCTTCCTCCTTGAATAACAAAATATTACACATGACACACCACACATTACACCCACGCCTCACCATTATACAACACAATGTACTACAATGGACAAACCGGAAAGCTGAACTGTGCAACACATACAGAAGACACGACCCTCACATCATACTCATTAACAGCCATGGGCTCAATAACACCAATCCACTTAAGATATACATGTACACCACCTACTCTTCTAACAAGTCACAGGAAAGAAGCGATGGCGTAGCAATAGCGATCAGAAACGACATCTCACACAAAATCATTAATAACTTTCACTCAGACATACTGGCACTATACATTCCACCAAGAAGACCTTACATACCAGAACCTGACATCTTGCAGCTCCTGAGGTACAATAAACCAATATACATCATGGGAGACCTTAACGCAAACCACCCTCTTTTCAGCTACAATCAAACACTATAGGCAGAGGCCTCGCCTCACTCATACAACAAGGCAGACTCACACACCTCGGTCCACACACACCTACATATATAGCACATAACACGGCAACAACACCAGACATAGTCTTAGCAAACCACAGAGCACAAATAAACCACCACATCACAACAGACGACGTCACATCCAGCGACCACCTCCCGGTCATTATAACACTTTCAACAAACCCCATCATGATCCCTACACAACCCCGAGAATCCTTCAAACATGCAAACTGGGAGGGCTTCAAACAAGCACTGGAAAACACACAAGTAATTGATCTCGAAGGGCAACCCACGCACACAATAAATACCCACCTTGAACAGTGGTACACAGACATACAGACGGCCCGGCAGGCCAACATTCCCAAAACAACACACAAGACAATCCCTCACCACAGAGAAACACATCGTCTGAAATTGCTTTAAATACAATACAGGCACCTACACGACCTCGCAATAACACGGGGATGGGACGCACAACTACGCACACGATACAGAGAAATACGAACACAAATCACCCACGAAATTAAAGTAATGAACAAACAACACTGGGAAACACTCACGCGAAGATTATGTCAAAACACAAAAGATCCCAAGAAATTTTGGAGTACCTTCAAAATGCTCATGGGGTCGAACAAACAGACAATCACATACATATACAACACACAAAGACAGAAGGTTGACACGGTGGAGGAGATGGAGCCTCTCCACAGAGAATTCTGGCAGCAGAATTTTCAAATCTCCCCCACCGAGAACGCCCGATTCGATCACGCCACAGAGACCGAGGTTACAAACTACATACAACAACACAGAAACTTATTTCTCCCAGAAAACACCATCAGACTGAACACTCTCACAGAGGACAGTCCCCTCTCCACACCAATCACACCAGAGGAAATAACAAACACAATCAAACGCACCAAAAACACTACACCAGGAGCAAGCAACATAAACAAAACAATCATCGAACATCTTCCACCCAGAATGATCAGCAGACTACGCCATATCTTCAATGCAGCACTGGCAACAGGATATTTCCCTGATAAATTCAAACACGCCACCCTCACTTTAATACCTAAACCAGGGAAATCTACACATCAGGTGGGGAATTACCGCCCCATCTCACTCTTAGAAGTCCCAGGCAAACTGCTAGAGAGGGTAATAACACAAAGACTCATCCCACACCTTGAAAACAACCAAATACACAACACTAGGCAATACGGCTTCCGCCCACACAGGGGGACCGAGAGCGCCATCGCCCTCGCTTGTGAGGAGATTGCTCTCGGTCTCGCTAACAAGCACCAGACGAACGCAATACTACGAGACGTCAGCAAGGCCTTTGATAAGGTCTGGCACGACGGTCTCAAATACAAACTAACACAACTACAGCTGCCCACACACTTCACACGCCTTCTCTGCAGTTTCCTGGATGACAGGACTGCCACAATCCCACCTAGGCACCCCCATCCACCTCAGAAGTGGAGTACCACAGGGAAGAGTTTTATCGCCAACCCTCTAATATCCTGCACACAGCCAGTCTGCCAGAACCAACACCATACAGCAACTATATTTCCTATGCAGACGATATCACACAGATCATCACACATCCCTCTAAATCACAACACTTCATGAAACAGAAAGAGCTATACAGAACGTCAACATCTTTGAGCACCACTGGAAAATACAGACAAACAAACAAATTCAAACTCATACCCATAGCACGTAAAAAGTCACAACCAATCACAATCAACAACACCAACATACCATACCCTAACACAGGAAACATTCTCGGACTACAGTTCACAACTGCAGGCTTCCTCACACACGTTAAACACAGAATAACACAAGCACAAATAACACTAACCAAACTAAAACGCTTTTCATGCTGCACACCACAAACAAAGCTCATACTCTACAAAACAACGGTCCTTGAATACACAGCTATTCCGTTGGTTGCAATATCTTACATACAAAAACTCAAAATGCAATCAGTTAAGAACAAAGCACTACTCTGGGTACATGGCGCAACATTCCGAGACTGAATTTCCGCAGAAACACTACACAGAACATACAGCATGGAACCACTAAACACACGCATACACAGACGAGGCAAAAACACCTGGGCCCGACTACGCGAACAACAAGACGAGCACTATAATAACACGCACACAAACCACGCATGGACATGGGCTCTCAGGACCTCTAGGTCCCAAGGTTTTCGGCGGGTTTCTTCGTAGTGATAAAGAGATTGACACCCCCGCGCGAAAGACGACCTTGGCTCTTGTGTGCATAGCCTGAGTGCTATCACGCTACCTTGCCTTGAGGCTAGTGCTTTTGTTTATAGGCCAGAGTGCTTATAATCAAAAGCACGACGCACTGTGGCAATCTGCAGTTTTACTGCGAGGTGCTGGCCGAACTATAAGGGTTAATTCCCGTTCGGCAGGGTTTTAACCCCGACCGGCCCTAACACACAAAGACTACTCATTGCCATAGTGTGCCTTCACTTTTTTGAACTCCATTTCCACCTTTGCATCATCCGGATATTAGCTTTTGCTAACCTCACCCTCTCCCATCATCATCACCGTTGCGTCATGCCACCATGGGTCACGTAATCAAACTCTCTTACTCTGGGGAGCCCATCTCCTGTGAGGTGGCTCTCCAGAAAATCTTCTCCATCACAGAAGTTGCCGTGACTCACTGCTTTAAAGTTCACAATGGCTACAAGGTTGTTGTTGCCAAGCCTGAACAGCTGACCCCCTTCCTCTCCTCGACTGGCCAACGGAAACTCGCTGATCAGGGCTTTAAACCCCTCCCTTCCCCTGAGACTAAGGCTAAATGCACGATCGTGGCTAAAAGGATCGACAAGACAATCCTGCCACGATCGTGCGAGTCTATCCAGGCGGAAGTCTCGGCCAAAAACGACGTCACTGTCGTTGATGTTTATAAACCCCCCGAGTCACGGATCGTTAAGATCCGTTGCTCCACGCCCGAGGAAGCCCAGAAACTCTTGACTCGTGGGATTGTGATGTTTAACACATCCGTCCCGACCTATAATGTAGAACCCGAGACCTTTATTCTGGTTGACCAGTGCCTCAAATGCTACCGTTTTAACCACACTAAACACAACTGTACACACGAACAGCGTTGCAGCAGGTGTGGCGAAACGGGCCACTTCTTTGCCACCTGCAACAAGACCATCAAATGTTGTAACTGCGAGGGGCAGCATGTCGCTGTCAGTGGGTCTTGCCCCAAACGCAAAGAAATAATTAAGACCAAAAGACAAACACAAAAACAAAACAACAACCCAACTTACGCCTCAACACTCCGACCCTTACATACATCCACACCCACCACAACCCGCCCCAACACCATTCCCTCAAGAAACACAATGCCTCTCCCACCTCAGTTCCCCCAAAACAACACTCAGCCACCTGCCAACGACCCGAAAATACAGATTATACTACACGTAGCTTTAATAGCTGCCAAATACAACGCCAAACGATTCACAGACATACTCCCAACACTATTACAGAAAAACGGCTACCCCAGCATTCTGATTCCTGAGGGAACCTTTACAGACGAAAACCTGTACATACCCGAATATCACACGCAAACAAACACAAATACCGAGGCTAGAGTGGCGCCCACCACATCAACACAGCCCTCTACCTCTCACGCACACGTACTCCCACAACCACAACGCAAACCACGAGAAACCGTACAAGGAAAAACCACAAATAACACAAATGAACATAAACGCAAACTTCACTCTCCACAAAACATGCACCAGAAAAAAGACAAGAAAGACCCTCTGCTCACGGAAACCCCGGAGCCTTCCGCTCCTCGTCGTCGCCATGACGACACCATAATCGGGGACACCAGCAGCGACGACAGCCTCCAAATCGACCTCGGTCCCAATCACGGGGAAGAGAGGGCTGGCCACCTTGGCGTCTCTCAAAGGTATAAATTCGCCAGCGCTGTTACCACGGCGAGATGGTCATACCTAGCAGTCACAGCCAAAGTACATAGATTCAGTATAGCGCTACCGACAAATCAGCGAGCTCGCTCCCTGCATTGCCAGATAGCGCTACCCTGCATCGAAACTCTTTCGTTGTGCCTCGCCTACCGCGTGTTTAGCCAGCTCTCGCTGCCTCAAACACCACTTGACCTTCTAAGTAACTTCATGTTACTGAGAGAAACCTTTGACGAAGTGACACACAGACAGCTCCGTCAAGCCACCGTGGTCTGCCATGACCTTGACCAGGCTAAGCTGTGTGTCACTGACCCTCACTGGTCGTTGATTGATTTTCAGTTATTGAATGGTTGTGTAGCTACGGCTATCATCACTGCCATTCAAAACCCAGGGATCAATCACTCTTTGACTACTTCCTCTGATCCTGCTTCTTACCATCCTTTCTTGTACTCTTCCTGGGCCTACGAGAGTCCCTGTGACTCTAGTATTCGCCTGGGGGAGGTGTGCAGCCCCAGCCCCCTTGTAGCAGTTCGGGACCAGGGAGCACCACCAAGTACAAAGCCTGTACTGTACCGCCGGTTCTTCCTCTCGAGAGGGTCAAGGCTGCAGGGTCAGGGAAATCTCAGGTCTCCATAAACCTGAAGCTATAGTGTGTAGGGATAGGGTTAGGTCCCTGAAAAGGGTCCCCACTGACCAGGTTTGGAACACCCACACGACCCCTTCCAAAGGGGGCGAGGTGAGTTTGAAATTCCAGACATCCCTTGGGTCAGTGGAGTAGGTAACAATCCCTCCACCTTCCTCATGCCCTGATGAGGGTTAAGATAAAAATAACTAATGGGCGACCCTCTTCCTCCAAGAGGGAAGCCCTCCTTCAAGCCCTCTTTGACGCCGAAATCCGCACACTAAGAATCATAACTGCTCACGACCACTTCCTGATTATATGCCAGAATGAAACCAATGCAGAAGCACTTTTTACTGCTCACTGCACGAACCTGCTCAAAGAAAAAGGATTCGAACCTGTAATGCCACCAGAATTGAAAGCCAAGCTGACGCTAGTGCTAAAACAACTAGACAGGGAGTTGGTGAAAGAATCAGCGGAGGCAATAAAAGAGGAGCTAATGAGGAATTTACCAGACACCCAAATCGGCAACATTTTCATCATGAAAAACCGATATTTAATAAAGATTCAATTCTCAGACCACCAAACTGCCGCCACCATCCAGGAGAAAGGTCTATACCTTTTTAACATCTACATTAGCCCCAACAAAAACCCAACACCAACTCCCACACCCACACAATCACCTGCACGAACACACACACCCAAAACAGACACACATACACAATCACAACACCCAAAACCACAACGAACACAATCAGTAAAACCCAAAACAACACATATACACCGAAAACACACAGACGATCTTACAGACTCCGAGGTCGACGATCAGGCCCTTCGCCATAGGGACGGTTACGACCTCAACCCCAAGGCATATGGCAACCGCCTCTTCGCGGCGGAGCCCACACGCTACAAACACCTCAACAGACAACAACTGGCACACGAAATACGCCGCGGTACAATCAGATGGATCTACACAAACACTACATATCAAAACCGCGTTCACGAACAAAAAATCAGAGAACACATACAAGCAGGAAACATTTTCATCCAGCCAGACATGATAGAAAAAATCAAACAACAAAACATAGAACACCTACAGAATGGCTGGTACGACACATCTGAATAACACCATGGCTGCAATACACACCACCACATTACATTCACGCCTCACAATCATTCAACACAATGTACACACATGGACATACAGACGAAGACAGGAACTCTGCAACCAATACAGACAACACGACCCCGACATCATACTCATCAACTCTCACTCAAACACCCACAAACAGTAAAAATATTCAATTACAACACATACACATCCAACAAAACAAACGAAGCCAATGACGGTATAGCCATTGCAGTAAAACAAAACATCAAACATAAAATATTAGACACCTTTACTTCAGAAATCATGGCCATCGAAATAGACACCCCTCATGGACCCATCATAATCGCCACCACCTACATCCCTCCACGGAGACCTTACCTAAACCAACCAGACCTCTTTCAACTTCTACGACACCGAAAACCAACATACATCATGGGAGACTTCAACGCACACCACAGATTTTTCAGATACAATGACACAAACGCCGTCGGACGAGGCCTCGCCTCACTCATCTCCGACGGCACACTCATCCACCTCGGCCCAGACGCCCCCACATTCATACGTGCCAACAGTTCCACCACACCAGATATAGTTCTCGCCAACACACAAGCAAACCTAAACTACCACATAACCACAGACGATGTCACATCCAGTGATCACCTCCCCGTGATACTCACACTCTCCACCAACCCCATCATGGTACCTACACCACCCCGAGAGAATTTAAAACATGCAAACTGGGAAGGGTTTAAACAAGCACTTGAACACACACACATTCCAGATCTCGAGGGGCAACCCACACACACCATAGACCACCACCTTAACCAGTGGTACGCAGACATAAAGACTGCCCGCGAGGCAAACATCCCCAAAACAACATTCAAAACACTTGCACACTACAGAGAAACACATCGTCTAAAAACACTTAAAATACAATACAGACACCTTCGGGAACTCGCTGAAACACAGGGATGGAACACAGAACTACGCGCACGACACAGAGAAATTCAAATACAACTCACCAACGAAACAAAATACATGAGCAACCAACAATGGGAAACACTCACAAGAGAACTATGCAACAACACAAAAGATCCTAAAGTCTTCTGGAGGAAGTACAGGAGGCTCATAGGATCGAACAGACAGACGATCACATACATATACAACACCAACAGACAAAAGATAGACACAGCAGAGGGGATGGAAGCTGTCCACAGGGAGTTCTGGCAACAGAACTTCCAAATCTCCCCTGCTGAAAACGCTACATTCGACCCACACACAGAAGCCGAGGTAACACAATCACTACAACAACTGCAACACCTGATTCTCCCAGCACAAACAATATCACTCAACACACTCTCACCAGACAACCCTTTATCACACCCCATCACACCAGAAGACATGAGACATGCACACACACGATCACAAAACACAACACCTGGAATCAGCAACATCAACAAACTCATCATGCAACATCTTCCACCCATCATGCTCTCCAGACTCAGACTCATTTTCAACGCTGCCCTGGCAACAGGATACTTCCCCAACATCTTCAAACATGCCACCATCATCCTCATCCCCAAACCAGGGAAGCCACCTCACGAGGTGACCAGCTTCCGGCCCATCTCATTGCTAGAAGTTCCCGGGAAGATGCTCGAGAGGATTATCACACACAGACTAAAAACTCACCTTGAATACAACGACATACACAACCCGAGG